AAAAAAAAGGGGGGAAAGGGATGGTTGGGGGGAAATTTTTTAAAAAAATGGAAAAAGGGGAATTGGGTGAGGAGAAAATTTGTTTTTGTATAAAGGAAAGGGGGAAAAAAGGGGTAAAAATTTGGGGGTAAAGTTTTAGAAATGTAAAATGTATGGGGAGTTTTATTTTAAAAAATTAGGTAAAGGGAAAAAAATGGAACGGGGGCAGGAAAGGTAAAAGGGGTTTTTAAGGGGTTTTTAGGAAAAATAAAGGCATATTTTAAAAAACTAAAAGGGGCTTTTGGCTTTTGGGTTTTTTTTTGCGGGTGGATGGGGGGGGCAATGGGGCCCAGATGTTGAAAAGTGTATGGTGTAGGAGGTGGGTTTACGGGAAAGCAGTAAAGATTTTTTTACAAGGTTTGTGAGGATAAAGTTAGAGATGTAGGAAAGAGGGAAATTTTTCCCGTAAATGAGGCCTTAGCAAGGATTTTTGATGTCCCCGTGGTTTTTTAAAATATTTAAAAATGGTGCTGAAAGAGAAGAAAATTTCGGGGGTCTTGGCAAGAGGCGTGGAGTTAAAAGATAAAAAATTTCACACACAAAGGGGGGATTTTCTCACAGCGTTTCTTTGTTGATGACACTGTGCTTTTGGGGAAGATTCTGAGGAGAATTGCGAGTTTGGGTGGAGGGGAAATTTGGTAGGGTGGAAAAAAGAAGAAAATTAAAGGTAATACAGGAAAGAGAAAGGGTTTTATGAGGATAACAAAAGTTATGTGATGAAAAAATTAAAATTTTCGATTGGGGAGGGGAGTATGGGGGAGGTAAAATATTCAGAAATTTTTGGGATGGACGTGTCATTGGATGGGTCTAGGGGAAAGATGGGTGAATAATAAAAATTGATGGGGGAAAAAAGAGTGATGGGGGCACTTGGGGAGTTGGGGGAGACAAAGAACTTTGCCCTTTGGGGAGGAAAAGGGGGGAATGTATGAGAGTATTTTTTTACCAACGCTTTTTAAAATGGGGGGAAAAAGCAGGGGTGTTTAATGTTGAGCGAGGAGAAGGTTTGAGGCAGGGGAGATGTCATGTCTGGGGGAAATGTGGGTGTGAATTAAAAGAAGAAAATTTCGTAGTTTGGAAGTTGGGAGGGGGGTTCCCGGGATTCCCAAAAAACTGTTGCCAGAGGGCTGGGGAAGGGGTTTTTTTGAGGGGTTGGGACATTTTGAGAAAAATGGAGCAAAAACAGAATGACTCCAAGGTGTATCTTCTGAGGGGAAAGGGAAAGGGCGGGGTAGGGGTCGGCCTGGGAAAAGGGTTGGAGAGGGGGGGGTAAAAAAAGGGTTTTTGTGGCGAGGGGCGGGGACTTCCCCCGGGGCTTGGTGAGCGGTTTTGATAGGAGTGAATGGAACAAAGGGTTTTTTAATATTTGGGACGTGCTTTTTGGGGGTGTGAGCAAAGAAACATTTTAAAAGGGGTTCAGGGAAAACCCGGGCCAGGCCGGTTTTGGCCCGGAGAGGGGAAGTAATTCCTCCCACTCTAAAGGGGGGGTTGTTAATGTTGCAGTTTAAAAACTGTAGTGTAAAGCACCCTTTGGCAAGCCCAATGATGGAGTAAATGATGGTGAAAGTTTTTTTTTTTCTGGCCCCCCTCCCTTTGGTGGGATTTCGCCCAGTGGGGGGATAATAATAAAAAAAAATTGATTCACGCCCCCCCCACGGACTCTCCACGGAGATTGGACCTCGTTGCCAGGGCCCCAAAAAGTAATAGTCCAACATATCCTTATTACATATCATACCCGTTGCCCCCCCCCCCCCCCCGCTAAAATTGGGGCACCCAAAACGAACTACGGCAGACCAAAATACCGGCATCGTAAACATTATGTTTTTGGGCATAAAATAGCCCCAAAAATATGGATGGGGATAAAGCACTTTCCCATTACCCTGGATGCTGTCAAAAGCCAGCTGCCAGTGCCCTATTACAATGGTTCCTGAAAATAGCAAAAAAAATTTGGGGATAAGGGACCCCTGGCGAATTTCCCCTGATGTAAGGTACAAACGTAACCCAATTTCCCATTTACCGGGTGGGGTAAACTCGCGTCAGTTTATAATGACATAACCCACAAAAAATAATTCGTGCAAAAACCCCCGTGCTCCATTTGATTTTCAACCTAGATGATCAAAGTTTCCAAAAGCAGCCTTCCAATCTTTAAAGCCAAAAATTTCCCCCCCCCTACCCTTTTTCCTTTTGGGGGTCCGAACAAAAACACCCAAATTTCCTTTTGGGTTAAATAGAGCGATTCCCTCCCCGGAAAACCCCCCTGACCTGGATGTAAAAACCCTTTTTAGGGTGGGTTTTAAAGGGGGTTGCACAAAAATTTTTTCATTAATTTATAATCGTGTTTAACAGGGTAACGCCCTGTAAACATGTTTTTATCATCCCTTCGGTTTTTTTCGGAACAAGAAAACCCAATACCTTCTCGTTGAGACCTACTTAAATAACACCAATTTTTTAAAACTATTTAATACCCTAACAAGAAAACCCCCTTAACACCCCAGAAATTCCCAAAAAAAATTCACATGGCAAACCCCTCTGACCCCGGGGATTTTTTTCCCTTTTTTTATGTCCCGCAAAAATTTTCCGTATTTCATCAGCCTAACAGGCCCCCTAACATTTCAAGTTTATCCTTATTAATTTTTCGAGGCACCCACGGGCTGGACCATCCATGGCAACAGTACGATCTCGGGCCCACCCCTAAATGTATCCGGTAAACTATATCACATTAAAGGGTCATACGGGTCGGTAAACCCTTTCGTCGTACCCGGGCGTGAAGGGCTCAACCCCCTCCCGCAACCCTAAAAAACCCCTTTAAATTTAACCCCGACGACGCTGATTTTTTTTCACGTAGAACATACACAGGGTGGGGCGGTCTCCCCCAAAAGGGCTTCATCAATTCCCCCCAATTCGCGTCCCCTGAAAAAAACTGATTTTGTAAATCCGATATTTCCGCTTTTAGGGCCCGGGGGTTGGGGGGTTTCCGGAAAATTCTGCACGTGGCTTCCCTAACACGCAGTAATTTTATGCCGTAAGAATTTAACTTCCAAAAAATAATTGTATCGCCTCTTTATTTTATTGGGCCCCAAAAAAAAGGGTTTAATACCCGGGTTTACCCCTTACATTTCCCCCCACTCTAGGGAAAATCTACGACACCCATCCCCTTTTTTCCAAAAATTTAGAAACCCCATCCCACGAAATAAGTCAGAATTTCATCTCCGTTTTTAAATACTAAAAAATTTTTAAATTTTCCCAAAAAAAAGGAAAGACCTCGTGGCAAAACCCCCCAGGGGGAAGTTTCCAATACCCCACGTTTATCAGTAAAATGTTCATCACCCTGTCTGGACACTCTGTATTTTCAATAGCATGCGCACACAGATCCTATCGAGTCGAGCCTCGTATCCCTGTCGGACAAAAGTAAATATATCCCCCCACCAACTACGGTCACCTCCACGTCCCGCGCAACGCAACCCCTAGCAAAATATCACCCGAAAAGTTGAGAATAAAAGCCACCTACCGCCGCAGTTCCACATCCCAACGTCGTGTAATGCCAATTCGATTCACCTCCCACCGACAGTTACCGGCAGGTAGTGGACCGGGAAGTGATACACAAGGCGTCCCTCCTGAAAAAACTGATTTTTCGCACTCGCACCCTCGCTGCAGGTCCATAAAACCGCTAATGAATCCACTCTCATCGTACCCCAACCACCCGACCATGCGCGACTAAGCGACAGTCCAGAGAGCCCAACTTCCCAATGATGTAGCCGAAAAGGAGCTGTTCTCCGGTTCGTATTAAACACTGCCACGACCACCTTTTAACCACGGACTAATTCACTCCATACACACATAACCTCGTATTTCCTCAAGTTCACCCTCATCCCGATAATTGTGCTCGTTTGAGAAACACAACATCAGGCTTTAAAATGACATAAACACTGCCTTCAAAATCCCCATCTTTCCACTGTGAGCCCGACCCTAAAACCCATTGACATTTATAGTAAAAACACTGGGAAATGTTTGCTGGCTTACGTCACACACATTCACTCCATAATTACATTGAGACATTGAGCGACACACCGTCTGTGTCACAAACATCGCGAAGCGGGAGTCTCGCCACCTCTGGGCATTGTCGTCAAAGCCATTAGCCGCAATCGTGGCCCATGACTTTTTTTCCAAGGTCCGTTGCCCTGGTGTCAGTTCATCATCACTACTTGAATTCCCTGCTGCCCGCTACGGGAGTCCCCCGTCGACTATGGTGCGGCAGGTGCGGTCAATGTGTGCATGGACGTCCAACACTAGTAATTATCACAGTGGGTCCGTCTGCGTATCAATCGTTGACGGTGGGCCTACCAAGTGCTATTATCAGACGCCACTGTGGTGGATGGTGGCGCTGAACACGCCTCCACCGCACCAATACAATTCCGGAAATGCTACTGGGAGGTCTATCTTTACCTCACGAGGTGAACAACATCAGTTGATGTCCGCTGGCGACACCGTCATCAGTACCTTGTCTCCATTCAGGCAATGTTACACAACGGTGAATCAGGTGTAGTGACAGGGACATCGAGGGAAAGGCTGTTGAGGCGTTGTGTGGTCGTATGGGACCCCCTTCGCCTACCATGGACTCGGGGGCTCGTGTAGGAGCATCTGACGACACACGCTGCTCACCCTGTTGACGGGAACGCCGACGATCACATTGATATGCCATGTGTCCATACCGTCGACATAACCGACACGTCTTCCTTTGCCCCTGGTAATACACAATATACCTGAGTATGGTAGAACAACGAGGAGAACAAAAGACGGGATGGCAGATTTTGATGGACATTATTACTGAAAACGACCCGTCAGGTTTACTTTAAATTGGGGCCATGGCTCCAACACCTGCATACTTCTGGTAATCATCTCCAAATTTTGGTGAAAACCTTACGGATTGCATACTCCATCAGCTTTCGAAAGGGACGTTTCGAATCATGAACCCATGTGTAAGTGCGGACACATCCCGAAGACACACTGCACAGTTTGAGTTCACCTGACAACGTAATCTTGATAACGTTTTGAACAACATCCTCATACACTGTTAGTAGTCGTAAACTTTACGAAAACCACGGAAGCCCATTTAACTGAAATAACACCAATAGATGTCATCGTTGGAGATCTTATTTGTGTCTTGCAGGATTTGGAGTAGGAGGACGTCAACATTATGACCAACAAAGATCCCCTGCAAAATCTCCACACAGGTGTTTAACTCGTCGGAGGCTTCCCTCCATCTTGTGGGGTAAATGTTGATTTTCCGGGGCCAACAGGAGGTCGAGGTGCAGAGCACACAACCACTCAACTCGGTACCTGGAGGCAACTGAGTATCATCTGCGCAAAGGTCCCACTCAGCCCGAAAGCGAAGAGGAACATGCCGAAATAAAGGTACGTACTCTTTGCATGCCACAGTCCACACGCTATGGAAACCTAAAAATATGATAATCAATCTATTGAGCCTTCCGCAAACTGTATTATTTTTCCACAAACATTACTATTTTCAATTTTCCAGGAGGTGTGGTCACTAGCAGTAGTATCATAGCTCTTGATCCGAGGAATTTAGATCTCCAATCTCCCTTTTTTGTCTCGAACTGTTAGCATTTCCCACTCCGTTCCCTTCCTTCTCCCTTTGTGTCCTCCTTATTTGAAAATTTTCCCTCTGTGAATTTTAGCAGCTTTTTATAAAAAAAAGAGATCATTATCGTTGTTATTCCATCGTGGAACTCAGTGGTGATGAAATGCTGTGGGAAATGTATTATTTGTCACAATGCTGCGCCTCCTTCCTGGAGCCCGTGGACAGCCTCGGGACTGCACTCGTGGACTGCCCCCGTGGACTGCCTCGTGGACTGCCCTCGTGGACTGCCCCCCTCGTGGACTGCCTCGTGGACTGCCTCGTGGACTACCTTGTGGACTGCCTAGTGGACTGCCTCTTGGACTCCCCCTGAAATAAATATTCCTAGTGACCAACCAGCCTTTGTCTCCGAGATGTGGCACCATCTGGGTACGACGCTTCCGATGTTTCCGGTCACCACCTGTCATGTTTTGGCTGAGACTGTCCCCTGGTTGATTCTAGAGCAGCCATCCTGTTGTACGGGGATATCCTGTATACCATGTATGTTAGTGGGATAGTTTTTTCCCTGCAGCATTACTGTAACTTTGTTCACAATAGTTATACAGTATAATTTTTTCTCCTCACAGCTACTCATGTTTCCTTTTGTTTAAATAAAGAGAAAGAACAAATAAAGGAGAAAATAAACAACTAATGAATATTAACAAAAATGCTTTTAACCCTCTCTTGGCGCCTTACGGGCCCTGTGTTCCCCGATTAATTTTTTGTCATTTGTTACCGTCAATTTCCTCCAGTTTTGGTGCACAAGACGAAGTGGTTTTTCTCTAGTTCCTGTTAAAATATTTTATCTCTAAGATACCTCCAAAACAACAACTGAGAAAAGACTGAAAAAGGACTGATTTACTGAAAATACACTTTGGCAGTTGGTAGTCCTAATAGACGACGGTGAGGTTGTTTGGACACTTGGGCCGAGACAAACAAAAAATGGCTTATACGAATTTAAAAAGGGTTAATTTCCTCTAAATATCTTATCTTTATTTCACAAAAAAATAACTTTGCTAGTTCTTGGAATACTGCAAAAAAATCAGCCCTTTACTCGCCACATAAATCCGAAAATAATTTAATATTTCCAAAATTGATCCTTTTTAATTAAGAAATTCATTATTCACATTTCTGTGAATATTAATTCCACTTAATGAAGTAATAAAGGCGTAAGTAAAGCAACATAAAGTGAATAAGATACTTACGAGATATGTGTCCTGGAACGCCGGCCGGCCCGCCGTCCTCGAATTTTTTTTTTTCCGCGAAAATCGAGTTTGTTTGGGTGGTTTTCTTAGTAAACCGGTGTTCTAGTGGCAGTTATCCTCTTCAACGCACGTTTTCTATCACAAGATAAAGAATACGACATGGAGACGAACGGTAACTACTTTTTATATCGAATATTGCTTGTGGACTCTCACAATATTTAATGGCCTATTTTTTTCAGTCCTAGAGTAATATAACATGTTTTGTATGTTTAATTTCTAGTGTTATTATATGAAATTTATATCAATTCTGATAGGATAAAATAAGCCGTAGAGTTGAAATATAAGAGCGTTATAATGAAGTGAATTTCTTCTCCTGCATGTCCTCTGGAGCGGAATCTGCCGGTGTGTCCTAGATGGTTTTCCTGATGACCTGGAAGTCTACGGATAAGCCTCAACCTAGCTGTTTTATGAAGCCAAATAGTCAAGTATTATATTAGAAAGAATAATGCAAGAAAAAGCAGAATGTATCAGGAAGGAAAAGCCCACCTCCTGCAGTGAGAGACCCTCATGCAGGGGACGGATGATGGTGTATGGGACTGATTACATCGTCCTTCACATCTCTACTGTTCCTGCCTTACTTTTTGTATTCGACTGAAGAAGCCTACTGCGTAGGCGAAACGTATCGGAATAAAGTTGCCAAACTGTGCCTAAGTGTCTTACCTAACAACTTCCCTGGCCGTATTGTATACCATTTGAGTTCAGGTCAACTTTCTGTTGGGCTGTTCCCAACTCCCAGCCTTGGCACACGCCTCGACCTACTGACCAACTTATCGGTGTTGCCCTTCGACTTCAGCCGCCCTCTATTCTCGCTGAACACAGTTAATTTGTGGCAGTGAAGCAGCAGACATATTCGGATACCACCGTCTTGTTGTGCCGAAAATCCGAGGGAAAGATTGCAAGACATGAGGAGGTTAATAACATTATCAAGAGGAGCCTACACAACAGCCTGATGCCCAGCAGTAAGGAGCCACCCCAGCTATGCAGATCTGATGGCAGTCCAGAAGCATCCCCAGTTGTATCACCCTTCAAGCCTGGACAGATGGAAGTATGTGGTGTCGACTATACATTGTGCATCTTTCCTTGGCTGATACCTATCTCCAACACACCAGGGGGAAGAGGGCAGCTGCCCACTTTCAGGGAGTCCCAGAAAAGTCTAAGAAAATGTGGAGAACTTGCCCAACATTATATGTTTGTTCCAATAGGCTCAGAGACCCTTTGGCTCATGGGGAACGAGTGCATCTAAATTCCTTATGGGAGGCTGGGAAAAAGACTCTTCAGGTAACTAGGGATCCCAGGGCAGCTAGTTTTCTGTTCCAGCGGCTCAGTGCGGCTGTTCAAAGGGTAATGCCTGCTGTATTTTGGGCATCGGGGGGCCCCAGCCTCGTTAGGAGCTGGATCAGAATGTTTTTTTTTTCGCCTTATAGATTCGGTGATACACTCGTAACAACATGTACCGTATATGCCGACCGGTTTAATCAACAATGAAATCTCTTAATCTTTCTGGTACCATATTATGAATAAAATATTCCTATTGGTAAAAAAAAATGAAAAGATAGGGGTTGGTAGGGGAAGTGGAATAATCACACGGCTTTCAGGAAGAAATCCAAATAATCTGTTCTTAAAGCCTTTTTATCCATTCTCCCAGTCTATGGTCCCACAATATACACCTCAGAGGTGGACCGCCACTAGAAAAGAGCGATAAAAAAAATATATATGGCCGTAAGTGGAGCGAGCTACCGCACATCGCCATCGCAACCATACCTGATATAAATGACTATAATTTGCTTGTAGTAACATCGTAGAACATTGAATTCTTCTACCTTGTGTTGCCAAAGAGTTTTAAGCTATTTTTTTCTATATGAATACCCTCAATTCCATAATTTTTCGATATTTTTTGAAGTTTGCAAATAATGGATTACAGGCGCCTTACCTGGACAGCGGGCACACCCCTCGACCTTCCTTCAAACTTAGTATTGCTCTCGAGGTCCTAATGACTCTGATAAAAGCTTTTATACTAATATTTTTGAAGCTCCCGGCTGCTTCACATACAGTGCATTAAATTTTGTATGATCTCATGAGATCAACAGGTCTGATGGTTCAGTCCACATCGCCAAACATCATCGACACATAGCAAAGTATTTTAACTCAAAAATAACCCACCCCTTTACATCATAAGAAACAAGCTGCTTGGAAACCTTGTCCTCTATAAAACATATTCCCTGCAAGAAGCTGCCTGTCATGTTGAAGGATCTTTATGAGAATAATTGGACGTTTTGTTTCCTTCTGGGATCAATTTTTAATACCAACACTCTGTCCCTACTCTCTCCTTACAACCTCATTATTTGAGGAATTTTTTCACTGTTTGAATTTCAGGTCCTAGATAAAGGGCCAAGAGATCGAAATCAGCCACATTGTGTTGAGAACGTCAGTACTCATAGGTAAAGCTTGGGAGGGAGTGACTAAGAGGACTGTGGCATGCAAAGAGTACGTAACCTTTATTCGGTGCATGTACACACCCTCATTTACAGGCTATCTCCCCCAACCAGCGAACCAGGTTGCTAAGAGTTGATGATGGGGCCCCGTCGTTCAACTAGTGACCAGGTTCTAGCCAATAAGAAGATGGTTTTGGCAATCGCAGAGGTTATGTGGGTACTGCTCTCCAGTCGGCCTTTGTCATTCCCATTCTAGAGCTGGTTGAAGCACGGTCTGCTATCTTGTGGCTTCTATTTCTGCTTTGCTTACCGTGGAGTGCACTATACTTATTACTGTACATAGTGTACATATTGCTGTTCTAAACTGGTGAAGGATAATAAAGTCTAAACATTTTCTACTGTGTTTATTTGCTCCTCATTACACCCTGGGTAACAGGCCATATGGAATCCTAGAGTTGTATACGGGGTAGCTGTTCCGAAAGTTGAGCTGGACTTAGAGAAACGTTGAAGCTTAGGGTGAAGCTCGTGAGCAGGAACATTGTGCAAGGCTTTGCTGTCTGGCATTGGCTTTACAAATTTTCGTGTCAGTTGTTACTAGCCTGTTTCGGTGTGGAGAATTTTGCAGTCAGCTTTGGCTTGTATGC